GGTGCTCTCCATATATTTTGAATTTCAACTATAATTGAAATTCCCAGCTGTTATGGAAGTAATTACAGGCGTCCAATACAGATGGAAAACAACTGGTTGGGCATTTTGGACTGAACCCTACAAAGCTCTTATTCAAGAACAAATCTGAGGTATACACCCAGCAAGATCAGGCAGCAGGGGTCAGGTAAATACTTCAGGTTGTACCATGAGTGGTAGAGATGTTGATAGCAAAAATGTGGATCTGAATGGAGCAGCAAGACTTTTAGAAGCTTGGGGCCAAGTAGAGGAGAGGCCATTTGAGTTCTCCATTTCCGTTTAAAAATGTCTTGGATTGCTCTTGTCAAAGAGACCAACAGTATTATTACAAGTGATTGCTGCATAAGAATCTACCTCCATCCAGAGTCTATATTTGCACTGAGAGAATTCTGGTTAAAATATAACTGATTCATAAGCCAGGAGTATAAAACATAGTTTAACCCTGGTTTTTTAGACAAATCTGCAGTTAAATTAACTTCCCTCTTCAGACACAATGCAAATATCTTGGAGGCTTGTACAATCTGAATCATGGAATAAATCAGCATCCAGATAAAATATGGTATTTTTTAAATTGTACTGCAACTCCATACTGTAATCATGCAGCCTATCAGCTGGCCACTCAGTATAGTTACTGTAAAAATAAGAAAATGTTTATAGCATGCACTTTTGACTGGATGGTGATTCACTCTATAAAGTAGGCAAAGCAAACCTTAATAATGTTTACATTCATTCTTATACGCAAATTTGGAGGTTGTACTTAGGCAATTATATTCTATCCTCAGCACATTATTTAAAAAATTAAGTATTTTCCATATTACGTCAGCAAACAATTCTATTTCCAGAAATAAAGATGTTCTTAACTTGGAATGTGATTCTATCTGTCTTACAAAACTGAGGACTCCGATGATGTTACATTTACATATAGAAAAGATTAGCAGCACATTCCTCTAAACTGTGTCTTGAAAAGATTAGATTTATTGTGTCCAATGGAGCTTACTCCCTAGTAGAAGGTTTAGGCCTGCAGCTTTAAATAGATAAGAAATTACATCTGTTCTGAATTATCTGAATTTTAGCCACTTAGCTGAACAGCCAAGTGAAAAGCGCATATCTTATATGGTGATAATACCTTGCTGTAGAGAAACATCAATATTATTGCTTAAAAAAGAAAGGAGAGAGATTTTAGAAGTGAAAGTGACAGCTGGCAAGAATTAAAAGGAAAGGGAAAGTTTAAACCCTAGGAATGGGCTTTCAGATCATTGAGCTATCTAGGCTACAGGCTGTCAGTTGCTTAGAAATTCAAGCTGGAGTTTTCCATTGCTCTGTGGAGGTGCCAATGCATCTTCTTCATGCAAATGATGTGCTGCGTCTGAACTAAAACTCAGTTATGAATAAGGAAGAGCTTGTGTTCTCACTTTAAAAAATTCTTAGTCAGCCTCTAAAAATTAATAAGAATGAATTATGGAACAAAATTATTAAAAAATGTAGAGTTTCCAGATCTGGGTTGCAAAACTCCAGAGGCTAGCAAAGGAATGCAGAAAACTCAGCTTCCGGCTGCTGTCTAGCTGTTGCCCTGATTTGCGCAGCCTGGGTCTGATGGTCCTAAATATGCTGAAAATAAAAAGTTGTGACTTCTGATTTCTGATGACAAAAGCAGCTTCAATTCAATAGGCATCTGTGGCGTTCAGGCTGCTGCTTTCTACACAACAATCAAAATGTCGTACTTCCCCATCAGAAAGATAGCCATGGTTCGCTTCACCCTCAGTTGCTGAATAAAGCCCATTTTGATGGATTTTAGTCAGTACACTAAGCTGTAAACTATTGCTTACAAGCCACATGGTCTGATTTCACAAACAATAATTTACATAAACCTGGTAAGTGAGTCTGAGAGTTAAGAAAAGGGGAGTGAGAAAGCAGAGTCTGGGGAAAAAGTGGTCTTTGGGGCCTATATAATAAATGAGTCACATTTTTACTATTCTATTCATCTAATCTTTAAACAGCTGGAATATCCCTTGAAGAATTATATGAAAAGAATCACAGATCTGTTTCTGTTTTTCTAGGGCAAGCTAAAAAATATTTAGTCTCTTGCTTTATGAAGTCTTCCTAAAAATATTGTGAGTTAGCAATATGCACGCATTTGTCTGTGCAACTGTTATTTACTGTGCCTCTATAAGAAGCATTCTAAAAGCTTTTCCATGGAAGCAAATGTACTGTACTAGAAATTCCTCTAACTTCCAAATATGAACTAATTGTTACATACATCCTTAATTACTTAGGATCCATAACCCTTCCCACTTGAAAGCGAGCATTCTTCTCTTCCTGCAGAAGCCCCAAATTCTGGCAAAATAGGGCTGGGGCGAAGGTTGGAATAAGTCTGCTTGAAATCCTAGATCACTGCTTTTAGTCAGGACTGACAAATTGGGCCGCATAGATCAAAGGTCCTACGCATGCAGCTCTCTACGTTTGATGATCTCATTGCTCCTAAGTTTATGCTGGCATTTGTATGTACTGCAGAACTGAATGAACAACTGCTTGGAACACAAACTAGCGGATGTTCCTTGGAATTCCTTGAGAACACTTCCAAGCTCCAGCACAAGCCCCATTCACAATGGTAGCACGCAGCGCTGCTGATTCCCCTAAAAAGAGATTGCAATGACAGAATGGAAGAGTTGGATTTGAGCTGAGGGCACTGAAGGATCTGGAGATAGTTTCTAACCTTGTCTAATAGTTGTTTTTCTGCATGATGGGATGCTTGGTAAGTGAGGTACAGATATATACCATTTTCCTTTAGTGTTTCCTTAAAGTGTGCTTAAAAATTTTAAATGTGCTTCATAAAATAAACTTGTGTGTGATAGATTGTTGCTAGAACCTGTAGATCACAAACTACTCTCCTGTTTATTCACCCACACGTTTTCAAAGGGGTTCTATTAGACTACAGAATTACAGACTCAGGATCTGTGGATTGTTTTCAGGAGCTGCACTGCAATTTTGTTAATGTTTATTTAGCATATACAGCCAGAGAGCACCTCTTTTCAAAAAAGACACCTGGGCAAGCAAGTCTAGTTTGCGGCCACATTTTTTGTGATAGAACATTTCAGTTGTTTCTAAAGGCTTTAAATATGACAGACTCCTCTGGATTGGATGGAATATCTGATGAAACTTTTGTAGTGCTATTCCTGAGCTAGGGCTTTAACATCTACATTTCCATGCTGGCCACGCGTGGCAGGTCATCAGACTCACTTGGTCTACTTCGTAGTCAGCGGCTACAGATTTGCAGCCAGTAAGGTCAGCGCCGTAGGTGGCCTCTGTGACTGGGACCAAAAGCATAGAATCACAACTGGTTCCACCCAGGTTACAAAACCCAAAAATTAAGGGAGGGGAAGGCCTTACTTCTATCTGGACCAAATTTATAATTGCTATCTTGGCTCACGAGTCTCTCCTCCAAAGCTGCAGGAGAATCCAGTGATGCAGAAATGCCTTGGTCTGTTTCCAAAGGAAACCTCAGGCCGGGATCCTCTGGAGAAGCTGTTTATTCCTGCTGGAACTTCTCCTTTTTTCTTTTCTTTTCCTTTTTCTCAACTGATCCTGGGGGCTTGAATGAACACTGTGCAGCACCTAAAGTACCCAGCTATTTCTCCGCCCTCCCCGCTCTCTCAATGCAATCCCACATTGCTCTACTACTTTTCTCCTACTCCAGCCTGAGCCGGAAGAGTTCGGTGAGGCCAGGAAACTTTCCATGCTGGGTCTGTGGGCATTTATTTGCCTTGGACCATCAGGCATCTTTTCTGGTTAAGGCGGGGATCCCAGCCGCAACCCAACCTCACCCTTGCTGATTCTGGGAAAAGCCCTGGGGTTTGGCCACAAGGTTGCCCCAAAGGGCGCTTGGGGGCGCAGACTGACTTTCAAGCAAAGCTGCATAGGAATGAATTGTTCCCCCCTCCCCAGGTCCCAACATCCACTCACTCACACACACCCCTTCCTTTTGAAAAAGACCCTCAAACCCGAAGCAATGGTACAGGGAGGGGCTCTGCAAGGCCTGGGCAACGGACAGGTGCGGGAACCAAGTCAAGAAGACCTTCCCAGGATGGCTGCAGGACAAAGCAGCCCGGCCCTCCTCCCTACCCCACCGGGATGCCTGGCCCAACAGCCAGGCTGTCTCCAGGCCCCCAGCACCCGGGGAGGGGGAAGGCTTCACTCCCTTTCAGAGTTCTGACTTACTCAGCCTTTTCCTGAAGCAAAATCTTCACTGAGGCCGCTTGTTGCTTTCTTTGCAGTTAATCCAAGAGAGGAAGAATCAGGCAAGATGAGCGGGTGTTTCTTTCAATGCATAAGGTGGCTTTTATTGTGGTTTAAATTGGGGCAGGTTCCCCAGGGGACGGGGCGCTTTGCTTTCTTTCCCTTCTCAGTTTCAATCCTGCAGCCCATCCTACCCCTGAAACTGCCCCCCCTCGTCTATATCACCCCCGCCCCCGGTCTCCAGAGTCAGATTTCAAGCTGGAGTAAGGAGTTAACTCTGAGAAGGAGTCGAGGCCGAGGAGGGAATGACAGACACAAATCAAACAGACTGTCAGCCTTTCCACTGGACGGTCCTACCTTCCTGAGCCATCTTGCCGGAAAAATAGCTCGGAAAGGAACAGGTGGAGTGGACGGAGGAGCAAAGAGCACAGGGTCAGACATCTTGCCCTTGGCCCGCACTAGCCGGGTTTCTGTTCTGACCCGAAGGCCGCGAGGAGCTTCTAGCCAGGCGGCGACCCCAAGGACCCCTTCCTACCCCAAGCCAAGGGGCCCCTCGGAAATGGGGCGGGGAGCTCCGGTCTTGCAAAAGGAGGGCGGGAAGTCCCCACGAACAGAACGGACTCAGGTTCGGGCTCGCACAAGTCCATGGAGACGAAGGAGACAAAGCCACGGAGTGCCAGCCCCTGCCTGGCACCACCTTCCAAGCTTTCTCGGCCACTGTCTGCGCCGTCTCAGGGTGCGCAGAACTTGCACCTGACGATCTTCTGGAAAGCACTTTGGAAATCCTTGTTGAAGTAGGCGTAGATGACCGGGTTGAGCAGCGAGTTGGAGTACCCCAGCCAGTTGATGACGGCGCCCAGCCAGGCTGGCATGGAGCAGCCGGCCTCACAGAAGGGCAGCACCAGTGCCACAATGAAGAAAGGCAGCCAACAGAGGATGAAGGTGCCCATGATGATGCCCAGCGTCTTGACAGTCTTCCGCTCACGGGCCAGGGCCATCTTGCGCTTGGCCTCGGTGCTCTTGGCCTCGTTCTTGCGTTCGGGGGCCGGCGAGCCGGCATCGGGAAGCGGGTGGTTGGGCAGGGGCAGCATGCAGCTCTTGGCTGAGTTGGACGGCGTCACCTCTCGCAGCTCCAGGGCCGAGGCACCGACCCAGCTGTCTTCGCCCGGCCGGAGGGCCCCATTGACGCAGGGCGCACCTTTGGGCTCCGCCGCGCTCCTCCTGCCTTTGGCTGCCGCTGCCTGCTGCTGCCGTTGCTCCTTCTGGGGATCACCATTGGTCCGTCTGGCCGGCGAGTGGGAGAGGCAAGTGTCGGCCACCTTCTCTGCCGGTGCTACGGGCGGCAGCGGCGGCTGTTTCTTGTCGGCTTTGCGGACCGTCTTGCGGATGCGGAAGCGGGCCGCCTTGAAGATGCGCCCGTAGAGGACCAGCATGAGCAGCAGTGGGATGTAGAAGGCGCCAAAGGTGGAGTAGATGGTGTAGCCCGGGTCCTTGCTGATGGTGCAGGCATTGGGGTCAGAGCGGTCCTCGGGCGTCCGCCAGCCCAGCATGGGTGGGATGGAGATGAGGAAGCCGATCAGCCAGGTGAGGCTGATGAGGGCGGCGGCCCGGCGGGGCGTCCGCTTGTTGACGTAGTCGATGGGGTCAGTGATGGCCCAGTAGCGGTCCAGGGCGATGGCGCACAGGTGCAGGATGGACGAGGTGCAGCACAGCACGTCGAGCGCGATGAAGAGGTCGCACATCACCTGGCCCAGCGTCCACTTGCCCAGCACCTGGTAGAGGGCGGCCATGGGCAGCACCAGCACCGAGACCATCAGGTCGGTGACGGCCAGCGAGCCGATCAGGTAGTTGGCCACCGTCTGCAGGGAGCGCTCCAGGGCAATGGCCGCGATCACGCACGCGTTGCCCAGCACGGCGAAGAGGATCTGCTGTACGGCCAAG